CTGTTTGAAGCATGTTTGTCCCCATGTTTATGCTCCACAAATTGAAGAACCCATTGATGTAACTTCTGATTTATGTGCATACAAGGTATTGACTATTTTTCCTTTTGCCTGGAATTTAATGGCTTGATATCTAGATGATGCTTCATTTTGGTTTGTTAACACATGCTTACTTCTCATGGGTTCTTATATGACACCACAGGTTCAGCTTTCTGAGAAACTAATGAGCAATGTTCTCTTCAAGAAGGTATGAAGTTTCATCTTAACTGTGACACTACAACAAAATTCCATGAAATTATTCTTGAGGGTTCTAAATTAGACTTAAAATGTTAGACGATTCACCAATTTGTACTCTATGCAAATATTTCGACTGGATGACATGACTATTAATCTTCATATGGTTCAAGAGAATAGTGAAGATGTTGGCAGAAGCCTATTTCTTGCAACTGTCAAAGAGTAGCGATGATATGCTTTTATATTGGGAGGATAAATCATAAATATTTACGTGATGGAGATTTATTCAGAGTAAGATTGAGACCCGTAAAAATGTAGACTGAATTAAAAGTTCAAAGAGTAACACATCGCTCAAATATGATGTTACTGATGGTTTTGACACATAATATGATGTTACTGATGGTTTTGGTTTGGCTGTTAGCGGATTAGCAGGTATCCAAGCTCAAACTAGCCTCTACACTTGGTAGCTACAATGGAAGAAAAACCACGAAAACTATAAAAATTTGGGGGGAAAGTCATCAGCCATAGTTATCAGCCATTGACAGTCTTGGGTTGTGAATTTAATTGCTCTGCTTTTGATTATCAAATCTTGTGCAAAGTAGAAAAGCACTTGGAACCTTAGATGCTGGTTCAATGACATAGTTTAGAATTGAAAATCTTAAACCTGCTGCGCTTGCTAGCAAAAACTAATAGGAGAAACAATCGGTTGATAAGTTGATGTTCTGATATGCTATCACCACCAGATGGAACTCCTTTTAAGGAGCTTTAACATAACCCTATTGTTTGGTAAACTTTTCAGCTGACAATGTTGTCTTACTTCCCTAAAATATGGCATTATTGTTAGTTTCTGGAAGCAGAGGTTCATGCCTGAAGTCACTGTGGTGACAACTAGCAGACGGATGACTTCATATAGGACGTTCTCTTAAGTTTATTCAAGGGATACAGCAAATAGATGCTATCCTACTTGATGACCAAAAAGCTAAAGAATAAGCTATAATGTAATGGATTAAGTTTTTCACATCTACAGTATATGACCTACATATATAAGGCATGTAACTTCAGCATTTTCAATTACATGTGCGTGGGCATGCAGCATTATATGAGCATTAACATTGCTAACTGGAGGATGGTTATTCATGTTGTTGCTCGAATTATCTGTTTATTTTATTTACTGCCTGGAAGGACTTTCTGATAAACTCTAGACATTGCTAACAGCTTGGTGAATATGAGATTGCTTGGATTGATGCTGAAGTAGGAAACACTAATGACATGCTTTCTCTGCTTCCTCTCTCATCAAAACCTCCGCCGCACGATTCAGTACTCGTCGGAGATTTGAAGCTGGCTGATTTCAAGCAATTTCTTGCAAGCAAAGACATTCAGGTAGAACTCTTTTCCTTATTCTTGAAAATATATGCTCCATTTCTCCATAGGTGTTTAGATGTATTACATATTCCATGGTAAGAAAGGTGCTCTTTTGAGAAAGAAGTGCAGTTTATTATCGAAAACATTCCATGGAGTAAAGAATGCTCTCCGTGTGAAGTATAAAAAGCTAGTTTGAAACTATGAACAAATACCATCTCCCACATCTTATTGCGTATTAGTCATTTATTCTGTTATTAAATGCTCATTTTAAAAGTATTTTAGTCAATTTATTCTGTTATTTTAAGTAACTGGAGTTTTTGATTTGATTATTCATGGTGCATTACATATTAGTCATTTCATGTCTTTTCTTTCTGTCTTCAGGTAGAATTTGCTGGGGGTGTTCTGCGTTGTGGTGAGTATGTCACCCTTCGGAAAGTTAGCAATCCCAGCCAGAAGGTTATTTCCTATATCCCTCTTAACAACGGGTAGTTGATTTATAGATATTGACCGATATGGCTTTTTAATGCTTTTATGTTTCTTTCTTTTCTTTTTTCCTTTCTTTTCTTATTCTTGTTTGTAGGCTGGTGCTCAACAAGTGGTTATTGAAGGACCTCTGACAGAAGAATATTACAGAATCAGAGACCTTCTCTATTCACAGTTTTATTTACTGTAGGCTGAGGATGTAAAACCCCGAAAGCATCAGATGACTTCAATGTAAGTTCTAGATAAGCGTGATGCATGATTTATACCATCCATAATGCTTCTAATTTTTATATTAAGTTCAAGATGATAGATCAGCATGCTTTATTCTATGTGGCTAAATTTTAGAAAACCCCCTTACTTTGGACAGATTACTCCCATAACTTTCAAAATATCAGAAAACCCCTTCAACTTCAAGATTTTTTCATAAGACCCGCCTAACGGTGTTAAGTGCAATTTTTACATGGGTGGGTAAAATTTACACAGTGGGATATATTTGCCAGCAAAAATTAAAGTTCACGCTTTTAGGGTTTTTTTCTTGAAAAACATTGAAAGTTGAAAGGGGTTTTTTAATAATCCTTAAACTTTGTTTTTGTTTTTCTTATTTGCACATTTAGCCCTTAAATCATCTCTATTTGCAAAAATACCCTTCAAATCTCAATATTTGCAAAACTACCCTCAATTCATCAACATTATAGAAAGATGCCCTCCGCTTATTCTGTTAAGGTATATACTTAGCATATTCCATTTTAATTATGTTAATTTTTTTTAAAAATGACTAAATTACCCTTGTTATTTGCTTCTTTTCTTTTTACTAACTACATTAAAACTCTGTTCTCTCGTCTTCTCTATTCTCTATCTGAAAGAAAACCCACCTCCAGCTGCGTCAAACAGTTTCATGCACCAAAGTAACCACATTTCTCCATTCTAACCCATGTACATTAACGAAAGAAGAAAGCACTAAATAAATTTTGAAACGAGAATCTGCGAGATTGGCTGCTTTCAGTCATCTCACTCACAAGTTTGGAGCCTACAATCAATTGAATACCTCTCTAATTTCACTCTTATCTCATCTATCAATCTGAGAAGTAATAAGCTAGAAATCACAAAATATTCATTAAGCACTTAAATCGGCAAGTTGGCCCGATTCTGATGCTGCCACGGAAGCCTTTGGCTTCGCTTATGTAGTTCGGCCACTTTCAGTCATATGCCACTTCCACTCGGTGTCTGTATCCTCCCTCTCCTACTTCTATGCATATCCCTCTCCTTTATCTTCCTAATTTTGATCAGGGATGTAGGAATGAGTTGATGGGAATTGGAATTTGGGATGACCTGAGCTGAATTGAGTAAGGGTACACCAATAAAAATACATCTGATCTGTTTGATTTTGAAATGAGAGGCATTTTTGTTTCGATGTTGATGAATTTGGGGGTAAATTTGCAAATACTACGATTTGGAGGGTATTTCTGCAAATATTGATGATTTAAGGGGTAAATATATAACTAACCTTTTTTGTTTATTGTTTTTGCTTTGTTTGGAGGGGGGGGGGGGGG